TAAGTGTCTTATTTAGAGATGGTAAAAACAAAAAAAGTCAACAAGAAAAGATAGTTGGAATAGATGCACTCCTAAATAATTCATCAGTTGAGGAGGAGATCACTGGAACTTTCTAAATTATTTGGAACTGAGTAACAATGAGTGTACCATTTATTTACAAAATTGGGAGGTGCAGCTAACGTGGTAAGAAAAGAGAAGTTTATAGCCTTAAATTCATGTTTTAGACAATTTAGCTTGTCTAAGAATGGAAATTAATGAGCTAAAGAAAGCAGAAGAACTTCAGAGTAAATACACATAAAGTAGAAGGAAGGGAACAATACAGATCAAAAGGCAGATTATTTCACAGGGAGCATTTAAGTCGTTTATTATGTGATTTCTGTGAAAATCATTGCAGAAGATTTTCTTCAAAATAAATATATAAAAATCCAAAATGCCATTTTGAGGTTTTTATTAGCATGTAATCCAAAAATAAAGATTTAACAACAGACTAGCCTCATTTTACATGAGAAGAAGCTGTGCTGTGCGAGGAGCTCATTTTATTGTTTGGCCCTGGTTGGCTGCCCAATACTTTTCCTAGCAGAAGATGGTAAATGAGAGAAAAGATTCAGGGGCAAACCCCACAAAACATAAAAACCAGAGTATCTTAGAATTCCATTTAACGAAGCTTCCATTTGATTAGCTAGCTGTTTTAGTTAGAATTTCAAGTCATACAGGTACAGAAATATGAGAAGAGATATGCATCTCCTTATAATACAGTGAGAGAAAACCATCATTCGTTATTATAAGCAACCAAGCTTTTTACTTTTTGAGCTTAGCTGCCTATATAATTATTTATTTTCCTTCATTGGTGTTCATCTGATTCATGAGCTGCTTCAATTTGATCTCTATGGACATGGTACCTAATCTTCAACTTCCCTGAACCAAGCGCCATTTCACTAAGTGAAGTGAGGCTGGAAAGTTTGCATGATTTACTCATGTATTCCCCTCACAGCCTGAGGAGGTAAACTGTATGATCGCTAAAGGAAAGCACCTCTAGCTGATTCAGGGCAGCTGCTAACAGTATGCTTTTGCAACTTTGAACTCTCTTCCCCCTCTTCACTTACTCATTAACTCATTTTAAGAGAATTTGGGGAAGAGTTAATAAGCATCTTGAGTAAGAGAAAAAAATTATTTCATTTCACAGAATCATAAAATTGATCACTTAATATTGATGTTGGGGCCGGGCGTGGTGGCTCATGCCTGTAATCCCAGCACTTTGAGAGGTCAAGGCAGGCAGATCACATGAGGCTAGGAGTTTGAGACTAGCCTGGCCAACTTGGTGAAACCCCATCTCTACTAAAAATACAAAAATTAACCAGGTGTGGTGGTGCGTGCCTGTAATCCCAGCTACTCAGGAGGCTGAGGCAGGAGAATCACTTGTACCTGGGAGGCGGAGGCTGAGGCAGGAGAATCACTTGTACCTGGGAGGCGGAGGCTGCAGTGAGCCGAGATCACGCCACTGTACTCCAGCCTGGGCGACAGAGCAAGACTCTGTCTCAAAATAAATAAATAAATAAATAAATAAATAAATAAATAAATAAAAAATAAGTGATGCTGGGATTTTATCAGTAAGACATAATCACATTGATTTCTGCCTGTACCACATTAGCGTTACTTTGCTACTTGTAAACATGAATCTTTAAGTAGTAAGGGAACTACTGAACGAAAGATCAACGTAAGAAATCTCCATTAAAACAAAAACATGACTGTATTCCTTGTTTTAATACAGTAATACTGGGAATGAAATAATTTTTTGAGGGGAAAAATAACTAATTTATTTTTTAAAATCATGTAGTGCAAAACAAATCTAATGGAAATAGAAGTCAGAATTTTCATTACCCTTGAGGGTGGAGGTAGTACTTCGAGGGCACTGATGGTGTTCTGTGTCGGTCTGGCTGAGCTACCTGAGTGCATGCATTTGTAAACATTTGTTGAGCTGTTACCCCAAGATTTGTATACTATATTATATGTATTTTGCACTTTAATAAAAAAATTGAAGAAAAAAAGTAGGTCTTATCACAATTGGTTATTTCAATCTAATAAAATCAACATGTCCTAAGATAAAGGCTTCAAAAACCTTGTGACATACTTAACATGTTATCCAAGAGTCTTTAGGCTATCTGAAGACAAATGTTAAATCTCATTAAACATTTTTAAAATTTTGAAATGAAAGATGAATTCCATTTTTATTTCAATTAAATTCAATACTCAGATTCCTCTAACCTTCTCTTAAATGCAAGTTAAATACTTTAGTGTGGAATACACATTAATCATGGCACATTTAGTCAATATTGAAACCAAATGTATTGCTGCTTCAAATACATGAATGATCACCAGAAAATGGTTTGTGCTAGATATAGTGTTGTGTCCATCAGGTTTAAATTATTTTCCTCTGAGGCACATTGGGAGACACAGACTCGGCCTACCAGGGGGCTGTTTAATCTTCTGTGCCCTCAAAAGAGCTTGTTTGGAAATGATTTTGGGTTTCTAAATTTCCATAGAAAGTGCTAGAAAAAAGTTTAAGCCTTCTTTTTAAATACCATTCAGATGAATGATTTTTCTTCCCACTTTGGTTCACATAATAATTGCGTTTTTACTCTTAAATTTCAGGCAGTTCCTTTTAGTCTTGACAGTGTTGCAAATTCCATTCACTCCTTATTTTCTGAGGAAACTCCTGTTGTTTTGCAGTTGGCTCCCAGTGAGGAAGTAAGTGATGATGTTTTTATTTAAGACATTTTAAAAAATAAACTTTTATTATTTGGAAATTATGAAATGTATTTTATTATGAAAATTTAAAACTAATTTATGAACAATGTTGTCATACCTCTGTGTATTGGAACTAATCTGTAGAATGTGAGCAACTTAAAATTTTCTATTCTTCTTACAGAGAGTGTATATGGTAGGGAAGGCAAACTCAGTGTTTGAAGACCTTTCAGTCACCTTACGCCAGCTCCGTAATCGCCTATTTCAAGAAAACTCTGTTCTAAGTTCACTCCCCCTCAATTCTCTGAGTAGGAACAATGAAGTAAGTGCAGTTATTCAATGAATATATGAATATCATTAATTTCCCTCTTTTTAAAAAATAGAGACAGGGTCTCACTCTGTTGTCCAGGGTCTCACTCTGTTGAGTCCAGGCGAACTCCTGGCCTCAAGCAATCCTGTCTCGGCCTCCCAAAGTGCTGGGATCACAGGCATGAGCCACTGCGTCTGGCCCTCCCATTCCTTATACTACTTGAAATTTTGGAAATTTTGATATTTTAGAAAATGAAAAATTGTGCACATTTACTGCTGGGGTAGATTCTTCTTTAATGTAATTTTCTTATGACTCTCATGAATAAACTGATCCTTTTTGTGAGTGGAGCTATGGTAAATAACATCACATTTTAGCATGAGGGTTGCCACCTATTAATTCAAACAAGCCAGAGGTCATAGATCTACTTGGTGACTGGTGGAGCTGTGTGGATCTGGTAACTTGGGAGCCATTGTTCACTGCTTCTGCTGATGTGCTGCCACATTTTTCTCATTCATTCTGGACATTGCAGTGGAGGGAGCCACCTCTGCTTTTGACTCCTGTCCTTCAGCTTCTCCATCTGCTCATGCGCCCTCTTAACCATGTGGCATGCCACTTTTGTGGTGGCCTCCCCTCTTTATTTGCTGTGGATGACCAGGGCCATCATCTTTTATTCTCTGATGTGGAAACTATTCAAGGGAAGTAAGCAAACTGGGCCAATGGTAGGATCTCATTGCAGAGTGCCAGGATATCCCGATGCTTTGAAGGAAAACCACTGGAGAACTTGAATGCTTTATCATGGTTTTGTCAAAAATATAGCTATTGAGTGGCAGTCACTGTACTAGGGAATGGCCATCACCTTTTTGTTAGGAAATAATGTTTTATGTGCATTTTCAATTGAAGCAAACATACCAAATGGAAGATAATTGTATAAATTCATTTATATCATCAACATTTGTAATATCCTGTGCCTTACTTGATAAATGGCAAATAGAGATCTCTGGTGCACATTTAAAAGAATGCTCTTTTTTTTGGGCTCTCTGAAGGTTGACCTGCTCTTTCTTTCTGAACTGCAAGTGCTACATGATATTTCAAGCTTGGTAAGTAGGCTGCTCTAATTTTTCAGTTCCATTTATTTTGGTTTCTAGAGAATCCTTGAATGATAGTAAAAGCAGTTGAAAAGTTTGATTAAGTATGCCTTAGATTTATGATCCCATGAAAATTGAAAACTTAGTGGCAGTATTGGGAATTTTGAATACATCCATGTTATAGTCAAATTATTTTGCATTTTTGCTTTTTAGGGAGAGACAGCATATCTTCCAAGAACACAGCCTGGGCGTAAGAACACCCTGGCCATAGTACTAACTTGGCTGTTGATTTCTTGTCAGACTTAATTCCTATCTATATCTTTGGGCCTAAAATAGAAATAATAGTTTGGACTAATAATGCTGTCAGTCAAGTCAAGAAGGGACAAAATCTGTCTGAAGGGTATTTTTTTGGTGAATGATTTTTTAAAAATCATCCTTGTTACTGAAATAGAAATTCTTAACTGTTTGTTGTCTTCTGAGGTTGTTTTCCAAACTTTTTCAACAGGTGTTGGTTTGGGGAGTCTGGAAGTGTAGTGCATTCCTGGGATCAAACTGGTCCAGCCATCTGTTCTTTCATACCATGGCCCATACCTGAGTTTTTAAAACTGAGGAATTTTGTTGAAAGCTTTTATTAAATATCCAAGGAGTCTTGTACTGCTCCTAAACATGAGATTCGTGTTGGATTTATCAGAAACGCTTATTCAAACCAGTTTCTTTTGCCACCATTTTAGACTATTTGCATGCTGTAGTACACTGGTATGGTTTAGTTTAGCCTAGTTTGGGCATAAAACTTTAACTGGCTGTGTTTGACATCTTTCATCTTACTTTATCCACTACCTTTTTTTGTTTGTTTGTTCTCCTAAGCTGTCTCGTCATAAGCATCTAGCCAAGGATCATTCTCCTGATTTGTATTCACTGGAGCTGGCAGGTTTGGATGAAATTGGGAAGCGTTATGGGGAAGACTCTGAACAATTCAGAGATGCTTCTAAGATCCTTGTTGACGCTTTGCAAAAGGTAAATATCAATGAGACATGAGAGGCTGGAGTCTGACCATTTCACTTTTAGCTTCTTAATAGAAAAATCTGCTGTTTCAAACACTGTTGATTGAGCTCTTACTTGCCTTCTTTGGGGTTCCTCTAATTATATTGGCCAAGGATGGAGTAGGGTCAAAAATGTATATTGATATATTTCTTCCTAATGCTAGAAAGAACAGCATTAGGAAAAGTTATCTCACACAAAGCTTTACAAAATTTTTGTGGTAAAATATATATAACATAAAATTACCATTTTAACCATTTTTAATTGTCCAGTTCAGTGTTATTAAGTACCTGTACATTCACATGTTGTACAACCATCACTATCTTTTATTTCTAGAACTTTTTCATCTTCCCCAACTGAAACTCTGTACCGCTTAAACACTATGAGATAACTGAAGTAGAACACCCAGCACAGTACCAGACACTTAGTAGATGCATAATAAATGCTAGTTCCCCTCTGCCCTTGAAGTTCTTCACCTGCATCCTTTCAGTGAGGCTTCATATTTTAATTTTTATAGATGTTTGTGATTAACCAGAGACCACTTAGGAAGATTTCTTCATTTCTCTTTCCAACTTTCCCTCCTCCAATTTATATGCTGACAAATTCAGTCTCTTCTTAAAGTAATTTTATTCTGAACATTTGAATATATGTTAAAGCTCAACACTTTTCTGTATAGTTGAGCATAATCAAAACCTTTAATACTTGCTTATTTTAAGATGTAGTATATTTCATGAGCCAGGAGGTAAGTGTACATTGTTCTTGTAGCTGCACAAAAGCTTTAAAAATCATTTTAATAAGTATGTTTGACTCATTGCATAAAATGATAAGTAGTGAGGTAATGCATATGTTAATTAGCCAATGTGTACTTAAGCCATTTCACAATGTGTACATATTTCAAAACAATATGTTGATGTGATAAATATATATGATTTTAATTTGTTAATTAAAAATGAGAAAAGTACATATTTGAGATTCCCAATAACGTTAATAACTAACTTTCAGTTTGCAGATGACATGTACAATCTTTATGGTGGCAATGCAGTGGTAGAGTTAGTCACTGTCAAGTCATTTGACACCTCCCTTGTTAGGAAGACAAGGACTATCCTTGAGGCAAAACAAGCGGTGAGTATATTTTGAGATCCTGCTTTAAAACTGTAAAATTAACTTTTTATAAAAACAAAAACATACAAAGTCCTATATCACCTATGGGTGACATGAATGAGCAGTCAGTAAATCTGAAAAACAATTTCAGTTAAAACATAAGCTTCTTGTTCACATACGTATGTGTGTTTTGCCAGTGATAATCAATTCTTTGAGGTTATAATCAGATAATACAAGAATTTTAGGGATCAAAGTAAATCTGTCCAAGATTATAATTCAAATATCAGTACACACAAGGAGACATCAGAAGTTAATGTGGCGCCAGGTGCAGTGGCGCACACCTGTGATCGCAGCTCCTCAGGAGGCCGAGGTGGGAGGATTGCTTTAACTTGGGAGGAGTTTGAGGCCAGTCTGAGCAAACATAGCAAGACCCTGTTTTGAAAAAAATAAAAGAAGTGAATGTGTGCGGGAGTGGTGTGGTGCCCACATCCTATGGGCTCTGCTTTTCTAGCAGGCACATTGTCTTTGTGGCATAGTCCCTTACTTGCTGAGATCCTCTGTGTATACCTCTTTATGATTTTGATTTACTTCAACGGTTTTTTGGGTATGGATCTTGCTTCGATTTTAAGCATTTAGAGGGTCAGGATTAAGCATTACCATGGTTGCTGGCCATGGTAAAACACATACCTGTGTGTGTGTATATGTATGTGCTCATTTACATACATACATATATACTTACAGCTGCAGCAGAACCTAGGGAGGGTGATGAGAAAGAGTAGTGTAGATACTCCCTAACATCCTATGGTCGAGAACATTGCTTAGGGCTGGCTGCATCACTTGCAGCAGATAGATATCCAGTCAGTCACATATACCTCCACTTCAGAACCATTTGCAGCCCCCACCCTGCTCAGTTTTACTGACCTCAGTGTGGGACTTGGAGTCAGAAAGTTGAAGCCAGTGCCTGTTTGAGATAGTCTAGCGATTACTGGTTTGAGATTGTTTCTTTCTAAATTAAATTGGGGATGGAAGGACCTCTGTTTCAGACAGCATGTCAGTCTAGACAACCACCCCAAATTTTCCACCATACAACATCTAGAAATGCTGGATAAAAATAAAGACCTTTTAAAAAGTACATAGTTTGGGCCAGGTGCGGTGGCTCACGCCTGTTATCCCAGCACTTTGGGAGGCTGAGGCGGGCAGAACACCTGAGGTCAGGAGTTCTAGACCAGCCTGGGCAACATGGTGAAACAAACCCTGTCTCTACTAAAAATACAAAAGTTAGCCGGGTGTGATGGCGGGCACCTGTAATCCCAGCTAGTTGGAAGACTGAGGCAGGAGAATCGCTTGTACCCAGCCGGCGGAGGTTGCAGTGAGCCGAGATTGCACCACTGCACTCTAGCCTGGGAGACACAGCGAGACTCCGTCTCAAATTAAAAAAAGAAAAAAAAGAAAAAAGAAATTATAAAAATAAAAAGTACGTAGTTCAGCTCACAAGAAAGGGAAATTCTCTTACAGAGTAAATAAAGAGGAGGCTGGGTGCAGTGGCTCCCGCCTGTAATCCCAGCACTTTGGGAGGCTGAGGCGGGCAGATCATGAGGTTAGGAGTTTGAGACCAGCCTGGCCAACATGGTGAAACCCCGTCTCTACTTAAAATACACAAAATTAGCCGGGCGTGGTGGCGCATACCTGTAGTCCCAGCTACTTAGGAGTCTGAGGCAGACAAATCACTTGAACCCGGGAGGCGGAGGTTGCAGTGAGCCGAGATTGTGCCGCTGTACTCCAGCCTGGGTGACAGAGTGAGACTCCGTCTCAAAAAAAAAAAAAAAAAGAAGAGGAACCCGAATGTGGTAAGCAGGCTACCCTAAGGATATTTGCCAGCTGGGTCACCAAGAGTCCTTTGGTGCCTTGTGTGTTGGGGATGGGAACGGACACCTCCAGATAAAGCTGGGGACCCTGAAAGAGCTGTGCCCTCAGTGAGAGGGCAGACTGGAAATTTTTGCCCACCAGCAAAGGGAAGCAGAAAGGCACCTGGGCTCTGGGTGGTGAGCACATGTGTTGAGAGTGGGGATGCCTCCCAGATAATTCTTTTTTTTTTTTTTTGGAGATAGGATCTTACTCTGTCACCTAGACTGGAGTGCAGTAGCACAATCTCAGCTTACCACAACCTCCACCTCCCAGGTTCAAGTGATTCTCCTGCCTCAGCCTCCCGAGTAGCTGGAATCACAGGTGTGCACCACCATGCCTGGCTAATTTTTGTACTTTTAGTAGAGATGGGGTTTCACCATGTTGGCCAGGCTGGTCTTGAACTCCTGGCCTCGAGTGATCTGCTCACCTCAGCCTCCAAAGTGCTGGGATTACAGGTGTGTTACCTTGCCCAGCCTATGAGATTTCTTTATAGGGTGATAGAAATGTTCTAGAATTAGATTGTGGTGATGACTATGAAACCACTAAAATTCCTTGACTTGTACACTTAAAATGGGTAGGAAAAAGAACCTGTTTATCAAAAAAAAAAAAAAAAAGGAAAAAAACAAAGAGGTCTTCATGGGCATGAAATCCTTTAATGTTTGCCTCAGCTCTGAGCTCCCCGCAGGTAAATATGCATGTCTGTGTACCCATTCTCTCCTACAGTTGAAATCACTCTCTTCCATTAGTTTAAGGAGACAGTTGGGAGTTTGAGGAACATTTACTCAGTACTCACAACGTGCCAGGTGCTGGGGCTGTAGGGACAAATACATCTCAGTTACATTTTCTTTTTCATTCTCACTGCCAGGCACCCTGCCCCCATTTCTCCCACCTCATTTGGCTGCTGCCTCCTAACTTGTCTGGACTCATCTGTCTCTCTCTGTCCCAGCTGGCTCCTCCCAAATCCATCCAACACATTGTTATCAAAGTTATCTTTTTTTCTTTTCTTTTTTTGAGATAGGGTCTCGCCCTGTCCCAGGCCGGAGTGCAGTGGCACAATCATAGCTCATTGTAGCCTCAAACTCCTGGGCTCAGGTGATCCACCTGCCTCAGCCTCCTGAGTAGCCAGTTCTATAGGCTTGAGCCACCACACTCAGCTAATTTTTTATTTTAATGTTATCTTTTTAAGACAAACCTGATCATGTCACTCACTTTCTGCCTAAAGCTTGTCAATGACTCCTTATTGCCCAGAGGCTCATGTCAGATTTTCTGTAGCTTCCCTGCTTCTAGCTTCATCTCCTGCTGTGTTCCTACTTTTAAAATTCTCTAGTCAGAATGAATGATATTTCCCAAACTGTGCCTTTGTCAAAATGAATTCAGTTTCCCAAACAATGTTTTTACACAGCTCTGTATTTTAAAAAAAGTGTTAAGTAGATCATACATACATAAGTATATAACATATTTAATACTAGTTATTTAAATAATAAAAATAATAACACTTTATAGCTCCATTTTCACATGGCTGTAAAGAACTACCTGACACTTGGTAATTTATAAAGGAAAGAGGTTTACTTGACTCACAGTTCCACATGGCTGGGGAGGCCTGAGGAAACTTGCAATCATGGCAGAAGGGGAAGAGGAGGCAGGCACCTTTTTCACAAGGTGGCAAAAGAGAAAGTGCCAAACTTTTAAACCATCAGATCTCATGAGAACTCACTATCATAGGAACAGTATGGGAGAAACTGCCCCCATGATCCAATCACCTCCCACCAGGTCCCTCTCTCGACACGTGGGGATTACAAATCAAGATGAGATTTGGGTGGGGACACAGAACCAAACCATATCAATAGCTTAAGAGAATGCTTGCTCCTTTGAAGCTCCCTATTTTCTCCCTCTACCCTCCCTCATCCAGAGGTAACTGCTGTCCTGGATATCATGTTAATCCCTTGCTTTTCTTTACAGATCGACTGCATATGTATTTGTCCTTAAACAGTGTTGTTTGGTTTTGCCTGTATTTGAATTTTATATAAATGGAATCATACTACATGTATTTTTCTGTGTACTTTGTTCAGTATTCTTTTTAAGATTCATTCAGGCGGACAAATGTAGCTGTAGTTCAGTCATTTTACTGTTACATATTCTGCTGTAGGGATATACCACAATTATCCATTCTGTTGATGACTTTTTTTTTTTTTTTTTTTGAGACAGAGTTTTGTTTTTGTTGCCCAGGCTGGAGTGCAATGGCACGGTCTTGGCTCACTGCAACCTCCACCTGCCAGGTTCAAGCAATTCTCCTGCCTCAGCCTCCTGAGTAGCTGGGATTACAGGCACCTGCCATGCCTGGCTAATTTCATATTTTTAGTAGAGACGGGTTTTCACCATGTTGGCCAGGCTGGTCTGGAACTCCTGACCTCAGGTGATCTGCCCGCCTTGGCCTCCCGAAGTACTGAGATTACAGGCGTGAGCCACTGTGCCCGGCCTTTTTGATGATATTCTTATACATGTCTCTTGGTACACACATAGAAATTTTCCCTAGCGTATGGACTTACTGGATCACAGGATATGCACACCTTCAACTTTATTAGGTATTGTCAAAATTTCCCAAGCATTTGGACTGGTTTATACTTCCACCATCAGTGCAAGTGTCTTGTCCACGAAGGCGCTCCTTCTTGCTTCCTCTTAGTATAAGTAGCTGTTATGCCACTTATGAAGAAATGTTTGTTAGACAAATGAATCACAGCCACTAGACTGTAATAATTTCCTATCTTAAAATTCTTCCCTCTTGATTTTTCTTTCTTTTCTATATTGTAGAAGAACCCAGCAAGTCCCTATAACCTTGCATATAAGTATAATTTTGAATATTCTGTGGTTTTCAACATGGTACTTTGGATAATGATCGCCTTGGCCTTGGCTGTGATTATCACCTCTTACAATATTTGGAACATGGATCCTGGATATGATAGCATCATTTATAGGATGACAAACCAGAAGATTCGAATGGATTGAACGTTCCCTGTGCCAGAATTAGAAAAGGGGGTTGGAAATTGGCCGTTTTGTTAAAATATGTCTTTTGGTGTGCTTTAAAGTAGGTAGTATACTTTACACTTACAAAAAAAAAATCAAATTTTGTTCTCTATTTTGTGTGTGCCTGTGATGTTTTTCTAGAGTGAATTATAGTATTGATGTGAGTCCCACTGTGGTATAGATTCCATAATATGCTTGAATACTATGATATAGCTATTTAATAACATGATTTCATTATGTTTAATGAATTTGGAAATATGCACTGAAAGAAATGTAAAACATTTAAAATAGCTCATGTTATTATGGAAAAAAGTGCACTGAATTTATTAGACAAACTTATGAATGCTTAACTTCTTTACACAGCATAGGTGAAAATCATATTTGGGCTATTGTATACTATGAACGATTTGTAAATGTCTTAATTTGATGTAAATAACTCTGAAACAAGAGAAAAGGTTTTTAACTTAGAGTGGCTCTAAAATATGGATGTGCTTATATAATCACTT